AGTTTTATTTGCGTTAGGCTCATTAGTTTGTGCTGTTATTCCGTGTCTGGTAAGTTAACAGTCTCTATCGAAATAAACCCACGTTTCTATGAAAAGGGAAGCTGTTGTGTTTTGGGGGCCACAGCCACTCACAGCTTGTTTACCTGGCCCGCTCAGCCTTTGAGTTTGACATGCTTGCTCCAGGTCCATCCCCACTGTTGTAAACGGTAAGATTCCCTTTTTCATGGCCGAGTAATATTCCACCACATGTCTGTACCACAGCTTTTGCCCCACCCCAAGAGATGCGTTTTTCTCACCTTTTCATAGAGAAGAAAACAAAGGCTCACACACGTGTGAGAATAGAATGCCCCCTTTTCCCTTTCTCATGACTTCACTGACCTCTGCAATGGCCTCTCTTATTATTTGCCCCCCTCCCCCACCTCCCCAGTGAGATGCCTGGGTCCCCCCCCATGGCCACCTCCGTGATGGTTTGGCTGCTCGCTGGTGTTCTTACGCTGTGAACGTGGGAGAGCAGGAATTATTGTCAGAGCAAAACCTCCATGGAACAGAACACTCGCAGGGCGTGCTTCTTTCTGGTTAACCCCCCGAATTTTAACCTGCGGTGAAAACCTTTCTAGGGTATTTTAATACACGCCCTTCAACCACTGGCGACCTAATTAGCTTAGTGCAGCGGTTCTCAACCTGTGGGTCGCGACCCCCTTTGGCAGTCAAAGGACCCTTTCACAGGGGTCGCCGAAGACCATCCTGCATGTTAGATATTTACATGACGATTCATAACAGCAGCAACATCACAGTGATGAAGTCGCAACGAAAATAATGTTATGGTTGGGTCACCACCTGAGGAACTGTATTTAAAGGGCCAGCAGGTTGAGAACCGCTGTGTGAATTCCCCGCCCCCATCCCCAATCTCTGTGGCAATTTTTGAATTTTTGCTCCTCTCCTCTTGGGCAAAAGCAGAGTCTCCGGATTCCTGGGGGCTCAGAGACGTGAAGTTACTGCGACTTCATGGCAGCCAAGTCCCAACAGCGCCCCCTCATCTCGCGCCTGGAGGCACCGGAAACGTCCGGTAGGGGCGGTGGGGCGCTGGTACCCGGGGGAGGGGGTGGCGGGGAGCTGAGGGCCCGGAAGGTGGCCGCGGATTCTGAGGCGCTGGGAGTGGGACCCCTGAGTGACCCGCGGGTCACCTTTTATGTTTCTGGAACAGCGAGTGTGCTCCTGAATAGAATGTAATTTCAACCAAATCGTTTCTCATGGGACCAGTGTGGTGCTGTGTTTCTCCAGTGTTATTTCATGGTTTGAGGTACCATGACCCCCCTCCCACGGGACAGGCAGCTGGGACTCCACACCTTTGCCCAGCTCTCCTCCTCTCGAACCTCATTCCCATAGGGTTCATAGGTTGACGCTCAGCCACGGAGCCACGCGGGCCAGGCCACTGTACTTCTTACCCACCATCCTTTATCTCCATTTGTTCTGCTAGAAACATTAGCCAGTGGTTCTCAACCTTGGCTGCACCTTAGAATCACCTGGGAATCGTTTTTTTTAAATCCTGATTTCTGGGCCTCGTCCTCCGGAAACTCTGTTTCTTTGTTATGAGGACGAGGCCCAGAACTCAGGATTTTAAAAAGATTCCCAGGTGATTCTAATGTGCAGCCAAGGTTGAGAACCATTGTTTTAGACCAAATCTTCCTATAAGGACTGCAACAACCAATAGGCACCTGGGGGTGCATAACAGGTGCAGGCACTCTGTAAGTGACTTTTTCATTGAACAGAAATGAGCAGTAACAGGTGCTTATTGAGCGCCAACTGCATGACCAACGCTGTCTCCTGCTCTTGAGTAAAATAAAATAATAATAAAATAAAATAAATAATAAAATTAAATAAAATAATAAAATAAATAATTAAATAATTAAATAAAATAAATAAAATAAAATAATAAAATAAAATAAAACAAAATAAAATAAAGCGTTCTGGTTTACAAAGGGGCTTGTAATCTTGTGGTAAAAACAAGATTAACACCAAAATTTATCATGCAGTAGTATAATTCATCTGTTTACTTGTCGGTAGACCAAATAACATGCATCCTGAAGGGCTGCAATTGTATCTTTATTCCTCCTTATGTCCTCAGTGCCTAGCACTACCTTAACTTATTGTAGGTTCTCCGTGTTTACTGATTCTGACTTAATGAATCTTTGAATAAAAATTATAAAATATGCTCTGGGAGCCATTAGAGAACATGATTGCATACATATGGCTTGGGACACACACATACACACACACACACACATAATTTTTTTTATTTGGGAGACACTACATTTAATGTGATTCTATGCACACCTTTTCCCCGATACAACTTTATTTAAAATATCTCTTTCTTGATTTCAGAGAGGGAGAGAGACAGAGGGAGATAGAAACATAAATGATGAGAGAGAATCATTGATTAGGTGGCTCCTGCACGCCCCCACACTGAGGATCATAGAGCTCGCAACCCAGGCATGTGCCCTAACCAGGAACCGAACCCTTACCTCTTGGTTCACATGTCGATGCTCAACCACTGAGCCATGCCTGCTGGGCCAAGCAACTTTATTTCAGAATCGTATGTCATAGTTAATTTGTGTTGCAGGTGCAAGATATTCCGCAGGAGATATATACTCTGGAATCTAGCGACACCTGAAACACTAATAGGAGTGGAATATACAAAAAAGGGCTGGGCTGTGGACTCAGGCTGCTTAGATAGCAATTAAGCCCTTAGTTAGAACAAGTTAACTTTCAAATCCTGTAAAATAAGGATAAGATAGTACCACCTACCTCGGATGGTTGTGGGAATTAAAAGAGCTAAGTGCATCATAGTATCTGGCATATACTATCTGACATCGGTAATACACTCCTCCTCTCTGAGCCTGTGTTACTAAAGTGTAAAATGAGAAGGGCTAGGGCTCTACTTGATCCCCAGATTTTCGGGTCTAACATTCTCTACCTTATTGCTTTACTTTTGAGTTGGCCCTATTCCATCCCTGTCCCCATCTGTTCTTACCCCTAGCCCTCTACTTTCCAATTCGAAACCTATACGTTCCCATCCCAACCCATTTATATTATGAAGTTCCACCCTTTTTGTTTTGCACACAATCTCATCCCTTAATAAAAACAAGTCATTAAAAAATAATTTTTTTCCCTTCACTGTGCAACCCGCTTCAGTGCCTGCCGCCTACGGGCAGGAGCCAGGCAATGGTTCAAGGCCACAGTTGCTCTGGCATGAGGCACTGAGAGACTCGGGGGGTCGGGCGTGCCATAAATGCAAACCCATGAATTAAAAAATAATTTAAAATTGAATGTTTTCAGAGACCGAAACCTACACAGGGCAGACACTCAGGTACCAGCATAGATCCTTTCAGCTCAGAGCGTTGCATGCCGGGAGTTGTAGTCCGACGCTGGAGTACGTACCTCCGTGCCCTCCAGTTTGAAAAGCAGGAGCCAGGGACATCCATCCATCCATCCATCCATCCATCCATCGAACTAACACTTATTGAGGCCTCCTGTGGGCCAGGAACTGTTCTGGGGGGCTGAGGAAACAGTAGCAACAAAACTGGCCCTTGTGGATCTCACATTTCAGTGGTGGGAAGTTTGGGAGGAGACATTTAAAAAAGACAAATATATAATGTGTCAGATGGTGATATGTGATCAGAAAAATCAAGGAGTGGAAGGTGGACAGAGGATGAGAGGG